AGTTGGGACACGATAACCATAGACTTCTACTTCACAGAGAGTAAGGTATTTATTGATACCAGGTAGAACCACAGTTACATAACGTCCCTCCACAAGTCTGGTAAAAGTAATTGTTAAAGACCTGCCTGCTGGGATGTGAGAAATTACTGCAACCCTAAAAGAGAGAAAAAGGAGTGGGCTCATATTTTTCTTTTGATTGGTAATACTTGTACAAACAAACTTACATCCATCCATTGATCCACTATCTAAACTATATATCCAGTTATATTCATGGATTTAGGTGAAGGCAGTCCAAGCTGGCTTTTGGAAGAGACAGTGTACATCTTGGGCAGATTACCAGTCTAACACTAAGGTAACAACCTACACAAACCACTCACACTCACATTACTGCCCATCTCCCATTTAGAATCACATGTTAACGGGCACTCTAAAAAATCCCAAATCAATGAACAGGTTTAAATCCTTCCTGCTGTGAGGCAACAGCATTTACCGCTGCTTCAGCATGGTACCACAAACTAACATACAGTACATCATCCAATTTAAAGATTTCAATCAATTATAAAGCATGAAACTCTCTACATTCCACTCACGTTTATAAATGAAATATATATTTTTGTGAAGTTTTGTATTTCTGCTGCAACATAAAGATGTTGTCAATGTAACTAAAATATAGCTAATAGCCAGAAATGATTTCACAGGTATGTCAAACTTTATATTTAGGACTTCTAATTTTAGATGGTGTATATATACAGGACTAAAGTTTCCACATTAAAGGACTGTAGCTTTGTTGCCAAAATTCAGAAATTAACAACATATTCTGAAAACATGGGAAAGCAATCTAAATAAGTATTTAAACATTTTTTTCTTTATCAGAACTTCCAGATGATCTTCGAACAGTGCAACAGACTCAACAGTATCAACCAAGGTGAAGGTATAAATGAGTTCAATGTTAAATTAAAATATGCTGATATATAAAAAGACAGACAGAAATCTCTTTTGTACCTATAAACTTATTATTATAGTCATGATATCTTCAAAGAAGTCACTAAAATATGTTTTTTTGTTTGTGTGTGTGTGTGTATGTGTATGTCTGGCATTTTTCAGTGGTTTTATGTTTGATTTTTTAAGTTTTGAATAATCCATTACATTTACTTACACCGGATTTCCAGCACCATCATCTTGTAAAGAGTTGCCGATGTGAATTTCTGCCCCATTGAGCCTTTCTGGACAGCAATCTCTTCTGTTAGTGATGGTCACAGAGGTGACAATGTAGGAATCCAACAGGTCCACTCTCCACCAGGGGTTGGTCTGTTTTTCAGAGCAGGCACAAGATCCAGCATTATAGTCAGATTCACGGTTTCCATCAATGGCATTGTTGGCATCTGCCAGCTGATGATTGAATTGTTTTGACTGGGTTGCTTTTCCCCGTAAGGCCACATTTTCTGTAGATAAGACAGTTGAAATATAATTTAAGATGTTGAATATAAAATGTCTTTACATGATTAAACCTGCATTATAAACCCACTTTTTTTTACACTCACTACAGTACAACATCTCTTATAAAGATTTTCCAGAGAGACTCGAGTGACTGTTATAGATTATTAGATTCTGTTATAGTACATCAATATCTCTACCTGTAGCTGATGATAAACATGTTAAATCGAATAGTTATGTCTATAACTTCTGTTCCCTGAAGGAGAGGAACGAGGTACAACACATAAGTATGGGATATCACGCCCTCACGTGTCCTGGCTGAAGAAACCTTTATTCACGCCTTTAAGGCAGATGACGTGTGATGACACGCGCACGGCCCCGCCTGCACATATAGCCGCTGTCATCACAGTCATCCCTCAGTTCGATAGCCGCTCTTCACCGAACCAAACTGCTCAGTGGAGCCACCTTGTGTTGTACCTCGTTCCTCTCCTTCAGGGAACAGAAGTTATAGACATAAATATTTGTTCCCTTTCAGTCGATTCACTCGGTACAACACATAAGTATGGGACATATATACACACCCCGCAGAGCAGCCTCCGAACCGGAATCGGACCACCACATCCTTAGTGAGTGGTAGACCCAGCAGAAAGGACAGCATGAGCCACTGAAGGGGCTGTAATGTCTAACCGATAAAACCGCACAAAAGTGTGCGGTGATGCCCAACTAGCTGCCGCACAAATATCAGCTACAGGCACCCCTTTAAAAAGAGCCCATGAGGTTGCCATCCCCCTGGTGGAATGAGCTCTCACCCCGTGGGGCAAAGCAAGACCTCTGGTGCCGTATGCCAGTGAGATAGCTTCTATAATCCAGTGGGACAGCCTCTTTTGGACAGAGCTCTACCTCTATTTGGATTAGCGAAGCAGACAAACAGCTGGTCACATAAACGCACATTCTGAGTGCGCTCAATGTAGGTGCATAGCACACGCACTTAAGCACGGGCCTCAGCTGGCAAACTCCTTTCAGAAAACATATGGCGAGGGGATGTGCACCTAGTGTCACCCCGTCAAAGCCAATATGACAAGCAGATATAGCTGCTAAATAAACCTTAGTTGTCGAAAATGAAAGGCCCTTATCCAGCAGCTCCTGCAGGAATGTCAAAACATCCACAATAGAGCACTGAAATGGGAGAGTGTGGCGGTCCTGGCACCATTGCTCGAAGGCTCGCCATTTGTAAGCGTACAAGCCTCTAGTAGATGAGGCCCTAGCGCTCTGAATTGTCGCTATCACACTAGGTGGCAAACCCTTAGCAATCAAGTTTAACCTCTCAGCAGGTAAGCATGAAGGCGCCACAGATCTGGGCGCGGATGAAACACTTCTCCTCCCGCCTGAGAGAGGAGATCCCTGCGGAGAGGAAGCTGCCAAGGACTCACTGCTAGCAGGCTGATCTCTGCATACCACGACCTTGTGGGCCACCACGGGGCCACTAAAATCAAAGAGAGGGAATGCCGTCGCACTCTCTCTAGAACTGGAGATATCATTTCCACTGGGGGAAATGCATACAGGAGCACATCTGGCCATTGGTGCACTAGCGCGTCCAAGTCCAAGGGTGCATCGTGGTCGATTATGGAGAAGAACAGGGGGCAGTGAGTATTTACCCTGGAAGCAAAAAGATCTATTTGCGCCATGCCAAATAGATCCCAAATCTGAGCCACTATTAAAGGGTGTAACCTCCGAATTTCTCACCAGAGGACCCTCAGCTAATTGCGGGGACATCGACCGGAAAATCCTCATCTTCGGACTCGGACGAAGCCGGGGCTCCAGACTCGGAAAGGAGAGGGTCATGCCGTGCGACAGCCGAGCGTCCCAGCACTTTTTCCACAAACGTCACCCGTCTTTCCAGGGTCGAGCGCAGCTCTGGCGCTCGACCCTGGAAAGGGGCGAACAGAAGATTTCTGCTTTGCTAGCTTCTGTTTGGAGTCCATTCCAAAACGCAAAGCGAAACGCTGCACAGGAAAAACTTGAAATTAGCGCTCCGCGGGCAGCCTACACACCTGCCCCTGTTGGTGGAGGCTAACACCAACAGGGGCAGTTAAGCTAAGTTCAAGTCGGTAGACAACGGAGCTAACTAGCAGCAGTTAGCTAGCCCAAATCAGCAGAGGTGTTCTCAGCGAGGTGAAGAGCGTAAGAACTGAGGGATGACTGTGATGACAGCGGCTATATGTGCAGGCGGGGCCATGCACGTGTGATCACACGTCATCTGCCTGGAGAACTCTGGAGTGGACCATCACCTCACTACCTGGATTTTGGACTACCTCACCGACCGACCACAGTATGTGAGGACTCAGGGCTGTGTGTCGGACAGGGTCGTCTGCAGTACGGGGGCCCCACAGGGAACGGTTCTGGCTCCGTTCCTCTTCACTATCTACACTGCAGACTTCTCCCACAACTCCACCCAGTGCTTCCTGCAGAAGTTCTCTGATGACTCTGCAATAGTCGGCCCCAACACTGATGGGGACGACAAGGAGTACAGAGGACTGACTCAAGACTTTGTGGACTGGTGCCAGCTGAACTACCTCCAGATCAATGCCAGTAAAACCAAGGAGCTGTTGTAGACTTCCGCAGGCACAAGCATCCTCCACTGCAACCACTGAACATCCAAGGTATGGACATCGAGGCTGTGGACAGCTACAAGTACCTTTGGTGTTCATCTGAACAACAAACTAGACTGGACTCATAACTCAGACGCCCTCTACAGGAAAGGGCAGAGCAGGCTGTACCTGCTGCGGAGACTCAGGTCGTTTGGAGTGGAGGGCCCACTGCTGAAGACCTTCTATGACTCTGTGGTGGCCTCAGCCATCTTCTATGGTGTGGTCTGCTGGGGCGACAGCATCTCTGCTGGGGACAGGAAGAGACTCAACAGGCTGATCCGAAGGGCCAGCACTGTTCTGGGATGCCCTCTGGACCCAGTGGAGGTGGTGAGTGACAGGAGAATGGTGGCTAAGCTGTCATCCCTGTTGGACAACATCTCCCACCCCATGCATGAGACTCTGACAGCACTGAGCAGCTCCTTCAGTGGGAGGCTGCCGCACCCACGGTGTGGGACGGAGAGATTTCGCAGGTCTTTCCTCCCTACTGCTGTCAGACTCCACAATAAAGACTCTTTTGCAGCTGATCAAACACACAAACACACACATGTGCAATAAGACTGCTATATGTGCAATTCTTGTGCAATTCTTCTTCTGACGAAGTTGTATTTTTGTATTTTCCTACTCAGTTGTATGTAGTATTTGTATTTCTATTTTATTCTATTGTATATATTATTCTATTCTATTTTATTCTATTGTATATAGTATTTTATTTTATTCTATTGTATTTTATTGCATTCCAGTGTTTTCTCATTTCTGCTACATAACTTTGCACTTTTGCTGTAACAAAACAAATTTCCCACCTGTGGGACTAATAAAGGTCATCTTATCTTATCTTATCTTAAAGGCGTGAATAAAGGTTTCTTCAGCCAGGACATGCGAGGGCGTGATATCCCATACTTTTATGTTGTACCGAGTGAATCAACTGAAAGAGAACCTATTTGATAAACCATGTTCTGTGTAACTATTTTTTTTTTAAGTTTTACAACAAAGTTTTATATACCCAGATCATACTTACGATAGGTGTGTGCTGAGCATGTCCCCAACAGAAGCAGCAAAAACAGACCTGAACTGTGTTTCATTGTTCACACTGAAAAGAGAATTAATAATGGAATACATTGGGGTAGTAATACATTCATCCCAAACTTAAAATACATTTTGTTCCATATGTCAGAAACCTAAAACAAATCTAAACAAAATAACAAAAACAAAGACTAGCACCCTTAACTCTGTATTATACAACATTCAATGAAAACCACATACCTTGCAAAGTTATCAGAATGAGATGAGGAGCCACTGTTAAGGAGCGTTACTTATATTCAAATCCTACCATGACACATGACTTTTATTACTCTACCTCTTACGCAGATATTGTAGAGTTAGGTACTGGCAGCCTCTGATGTTTTTGTAAAACTTAATTGTTAAATATGGCCATCATTAAGATTTATGGATTCAAACACCAAAGCAAAAGGAAAAACACAACACGTCATTGAAAAATATAAGTTGAGTTTATCTCGAGTTTTCCGCTCCCTACTCACTTTTCCTGTTCAACTCCATTCTCCCCATTCCTCTGTGGAATATGAGGGTTTTCATTAACTGTAATAACATGCCCTAGTTTGCAAGGTTTTTACTCTAAATGAAATCCAATGAATAATCACGGACTCTGTCCAAATCATCAAACTTTATGTGTTCGTTTGGTGTTCCCAGCACTTGTCATAAAGTGCTGTTATCAGCTCACATGTGATTTACACAGTCAGACCCTTTGACTGGGACACGTGCCACAATGGTGACAGGATGTGCCAGAGTAAAATCTTGTCTTGAAATTCTACAAAGTTACTGTATTTACCAGTACACACTCTTAGAAAGGAATAAAAAAAATACACAAAACTCATTTTGTGTGAATTTTGACACAATGTCAAAAACAAAGATGAAAAATTAAACACATTTTGTAAAAATGCAGACAAAATGCATTGTCCCTGAGCTGATGCAGCCAGTCTTAAGATTTAACACGTTATGTGTTGTATTTAACACATCTGTTCTATGAGTGTACATTAAATAAGACTAATAGACTAATATAGAGTAAAAACAACAGATTTCCTTACATATAATTTTCACCCGAAATAGAAGGTCACATGTATTCAAATCAGTTTAGTTAATTTTAGTTTAATTCAATTCAAAGTTATTTATATAGCACCAAATCACAGTAA